CCCCAAAACCCCAAAACCCCAAAACCCCAAAACCCCAAACTTATTCATATAAATTGAACTTTATATACCCCCTAAAACCTCCCCCAAATGCAGTCTAAAAACAGTAAGTTCCAAGTCCCCCAATCCCCCACTCTCTCTCCTCTCTTCCACTATCCTTCCACTCCTCATTCTCTTCTTCCTAAAACTCTCTCAGCCAAGTATCCCTGAGCGAGAACAGTTTCTTATTCGCCATGTTTATGTGTCTAGGAAAATTACGATCAAGAAGAGCAGAGCAGGTAAGAGAAATTATGGCAAGGGATGGTGCTAGCAGGATTCTTAACTCTGTTGGGAAGAAGAGTATTGATAAAGATGAGTATGACAGATGTATGTCTGCTCTTGAGTAAGAATGTTTCTGAAAAGAGATTAATTTCATATTATTTCACTAGTCTGTTTTCTTGTTGAATTAAGCAGAACCAATATTCATAAGAACTAATATAATAATAGATTGAGATCTAAGTCTTTGCTTGATCTCCAATACGAGAAAGATGAGTCCTTGGCAATTCAGAGATTGGAATTGGAAATGAACGTTAACAATAACCCCAGAATGAAGTCAAACCTAACGGTGCTCAATAAGATCAAGGAATGAAACTTGAACATCACTAAAAAGGAGAAGGAACAGCTAATTATGTTCCTATGAAGTATCCCTATTTTTAAAGATGCTATTCCTGACATTAAAGCTGGCGGGATCGAATTTAAGAAAATCTGAGAAGGCTTAGACTTTCTATGCTTCGAAAAAGGAGATCTTATCTACCCAAAATAAGAGCTGTGTAGACTATGTGTACTACCTTATTATCGGAGAAGTAGTCAAGATTGATGAGAAATAACCTTGATCTAGATGAGATCCTGGACGTTCCGATTAAAAGTCTAAAGGACGTCATTTCACAGTACATTCGTAAAAAGCTGTACGATAGGATTCCGGATATCTTTGTCAAAATACAGCTGGAGAGAATCAAGTGCAATCAGTTATTCATGAAGCGCCAGGCTGATGTTGGAAAGTCTTATAAGCTCAATGATAGGCGACAGATCCAAATTGACGATAACTTGTTCCTCCACATCAAGAAACAAATGAAAGAAATCAAGAGTAGTTCTATTTTTGGGGAAGAAGAGGTACTGAAAGGAGGAAGAGTACATAGATCATCCATGTTTTCAAAAAGTCCATCCTGGGTCATTTCAATAAAGCGTGACCTCTTCAGCCTAAAATTTAAGGAATATGTCAAGAGAGTCAAGGAATCTAAAGCTGTGTTTATATACAACTGGCTGGTTAGCATTGATCCTAAGATTGAATATGAGCGTGTTAAGGATTTCCTACTAGCTAAATTTAAGGAAGTTCAATACTGAAAAGGTGCCAAACTTCTTACAGAAGGAGCAGTATCAGATAAGCTCTACTTATTGAAAGAAGGCAATTTTGAATTAACCAAAAGTATCAGAACAAAGTCGATTTTTGAGTCAAAATCTACACATAAGTTAATGTTTCTTGATGAAAATTCCTTGGTTGGAGAGGATAATTATTGATTTGGACAGCCAAACTCTTATTCCATAATTTGTTGAAGCCCTAAAGGGTGTGCATTAGAGATTGATATCCAGTCTTTTAACAGAAAATTTGCAGATCTGAAATAAAATCCAGATGCCAGCATTCATTGAACGTCGGGATTTTATTAATAAGAGAGCCAAGGAGTTGACAAAGTTTAACATATTGAAGCAGAAGGTGTCTGGACCTTTTCCTCAGAGGATCAAATCAAACTCAAAGGAGCAGTTTGAAATTTATTCAAAGTATTCAAAAGCACGCAAAAACACTCAGAAAAGCATCATTAATCAGATTGAGAGAAGTAAGCACAAGGAACAAGAATTTCTGATAACTGTGAATGAGCCTATACCAATGTCTCCACCTACTCAGAGGTTGCCGAAGTTGATGGCAGAGAGGGGGGAATCACAAACTTTAGATGAATCTTTATATGCTTCTAACCAATCTGTTCAAAACGAGTCTGATCCTCAGAGGAGGAATTCATCAGTGGGATTACATCACGAAACTCCATTTATGAAAGAAAGCATGCAGAATATGGACAATGCTATAAAGTCATTATCCCCATTGAACAGAATGACGACCGATCAAATCAAGCGAATGGAGATGGTAAATCGGTTCAAATTTGCTAATTATGAGTACAAAGATGATCGGTACAGCACCTTGCCTGATATTGAGGAGTTCTTTGGTGTTTACACCAGTAGAACAAAGAAAGAAAAACCTATCTGGAAGTCCAAGCCCTTAGACCTATCAAGTGTCAATAAAGTGGTGAAGGATTTTTCTTCCAAAATTAAGTCTGATAATATTTTGGTAAGACTAAAAGCTCATGGTTTAGACTTTATTTGCTGAAAGGGAAAAATTTGGACTAAAGACTTCAAAAGCAGCCCCGACTACTATATCAAAGTCTAGAAATGAACTAAGAAATTACAAGACTATCAAGTCTAAATTCTTCCGTCCTGGGGTCTTCAGCCCACAAAGCTGGAAGACCTTGCATAAGGGAAAAGATGGTGAGGTTCATAAGAGGCCTTTACATTTGAATTTGAAGAATAAAAAGGCCGATGCTTGGCAGATTTATAAGAAACTAAAACCATCAAAAGGACTGAAGACTCCTAAGAGGGTAGAAAATACTGAAGCTAGGGTCAGTTGCATCAATTTTAGTACCAATTTAGCATAATTAGTTTAATAAAGGGGTTTTGGGGTTTTGGGGTTTTGGGGTTTTGGGGTTTTGGGG